GTGACACCACCATAATATCCGTTTGCCTACTAAATGTCAGGTGTACGAAACAGCAGCTCCTTCAGTCTTACTATAAGACCATGAATAATAGCAACTGAAGGCAGAAGACAAGATAAAGCTTTTAGTTTCAAGCAACTATTGTCTTCCCTGAATAGGTAGCATGTTGTTACCACCACATCAGTAATGCAGAAGTCTTAGGCAGAGGAGAAGAGTCAGTTGATGAGATCGTGAACCTTCAATAAATAAGGTGATTGCGTTATGTGATAAGTATGCCTGGTAAATATCCGTCTCAAGGTATACTATTAGTTGAACCCGGTGTATTTTGAAGAATTCGAGACTCATAGAAAGACTGAAAAATGACAGAAACCCATTAAGTCTTTGACAGTTGATCTGTCCTGTGTCAGGAAATGAAGACTTTTCACTTGAAGTCTAAGTGATGTTGACATCACTGTTCTTTGAGACCATAAAATATTGCTCATAATTAATTTGAGTGACACAGAAATAAACAAACAAACATTGTGTTGATATTCGTAATGAAAATTGTTTTTCCATTCCTCATCGTCTACGCTTTACGACTTGCCACCAACTCCAATTGCTGCCTCCTTTATTTCTATATCTTTGATTTGGGCACCTTTTACCTTGCTATACTAATATGAGATATGAAAACTTGAATCACCACGCAGTAATGCCAGATCATCGGTGATCATCTTACTCCTGTCTTCACTTCGAGGGCGTCACTCAGATTTCCATTGTTAATCACTTGGCGTCTTCAAATAGCTGTTGAATGAGGTTGATAAAGGTTTGTGGTACTAAAAGCATAGTGTTGAAGCAGTTGCCAAATTACTTCTCGGTCGACGCTATCAAAGGCCTTTTCAAAGTCGATGAAGTTGAGGCAGAGAGTTGACTGCCATAGTTTGTTCTATGAAGATGCGTAGCGTAGGGTTGCAATTTGATCCGCACATGATTTTTTCTCCCAGAATCCAGCCTGTTCCGGTCGTAACTTTGAATCCTGCGCATCCTTTAGTCTCTTTAAGATGATACGGCCTAATAGTTTGCCTGGGGTGGACAGCAGCATGATTCCTCACCAGTTCTTGCAAAAACTTAGGTCTCCCTTCTTTGTAAGTTTGACAAGGTAGCCCTTCATTTAATCACTCTGCAGGTCTCTTTCCTTCCTTCCATCCAAACCTTCTACAGTAGTGGTGTGAGAGTTTCCGCTGCTGTCTCTGCATCTGCTTTAAGTGATTTTGTAGGTGCACGTGGTGGCGGTGGTCGATTCAAGAGCTTTTTGAAGTGTTCAGCTCATTATTTCTTTTGCATTTCCTCTATGCTAACAAAGGTTCCTTCACTATCTTTCCTTTGTTGCATCTGAATCGATCTCTTCTCAGATAGTAACCTGGTTGTTTGATATAATGTTGTCAGGTCTCTCCTACCTGCATCTTATTCCACCTCACTTCATAATGATTCATACAAGTGTCTTTTGTCTTTGCGCACAATCTTCTTTACTTCTTTGTCCAGTGAAGTATTTTGTAGGTTGTCTTCACTTCATCCTTCCGTTGTCCATCCCTGCACAGCACTCAACTCCACTTCACTCCACTCCACTTCACTGGTTCATCTTCTACTTCACCATCACCATCTGACTCTCCCTGCTCTATCACCTTACATGTGTCCATCGAGATCCATTCCTCGTTTCGCTTCTTCTTCCTCTTTCCTTACACGGTTGTGCAGGTTTCTCTACACATCTCTTTCAAAGAGTTCCAGTGTTCATCCACACAGGTCTCCTCACAGATGTTGCTCAATATCTCCCATTTTGTCCTAATCACTGACTGACATGAAGATGTCCCCTGTAGTTTCGTCCTTCACTTTCTGTTCTCGTGTTCAACTTCAACTGTGGTCTATCATTACCTTCCTTGAAATGAAGGTATTCAACTAGATATTGGATGTAGGTTCGTTGTACTGGATAGTGAGTGGTGTGAACACACATCTGCTCCCCCCTCCCACTCCCCACCCCCACCCCCACCCCCACCTTCTTGATCTGATCTCGTGTCCAGTAGGCTGACTGACTCTCCACTTTCTTCACATTCAGACGAAGTCGATCTCATATCTACTGTATCCATCCAGTGAAATCAAATCCATGCCGCTATCTCGATATCCTTGTATTTGTACACAATGTCTCCAATCACCAAATCGTTGAATGCACACAAATCTGCAAACAGTTCTCCATTCTCGTTCATTTCACAGAGTGCTTCTCCACCCATGTTTGGTTCTCTTCCTGTGTTGTCTGCTCCTCAACATTTTGGTATTCAGGCAGGTCACCCACCCATTCGAATTTTGATGTTGTCAACTGGAGTGTTGTCCAGTACTGACTGATTGTAGTTGTCTGTAGAATTCCTCCTTCTTCTCTTCATCTGCATTATTTGTGTGTGCGTAGCGTAGTGTATGATTTTGTGATTGTGACTTTCCTTCCTTCTGAGTTGAATCTTGCTGTCATGATTCTGGAGTAGGCGTAGGAGTAGGAGGAGGAGGAGAAGGGGAAAGAGTAGGAGGAGGAGGAGATTGGTTGTCGCTGCATGAGAGAGAGGCGTCGATGCTCTTGGGAGGGGGGCATCATGATAGCCACTCCAGAACTCAGTGTGTTCGTGGTTGTCGTTTTGGTGACAACATTGGGGTAGATTATTAACGATGCAGTTGACAGTTTGAACAGTCCACTTCCATTCCATCTGCTGATTCCTTGCAGAATCCTAGCCTAGCACTTCTATGCTATACCTTCTCATCTTTTTTGCAATCTGGGCATCCTTGCAATTTCCAAACATGGTGTGGATATTCCATGTTCCCATTCTTATTTTCGCTTTCATCGAGAGAAGAGAAGACATGTCGGCCGATTGGCTTCCCGAAGTCTTTCACCAACTGGCGTCATTTCGTTTCCCCAACTTCGGCAAGGAATAAGTTTACTTTCATGTTTTATGTTTGTTTTGTGCTTTGAAGTTTATTTGGTGACTGGATTGTTTTTCCGGGTTAGAGCTGCTAGCTGTATTCTCAACCTTTCCTCTTTATTTGGGCTTAGAACCGGCTAGTAATTAGTGAACTAGTTACCTAGATGAGGTTTTTGCGATACTTAACTGAAGTTACCTTTCTACTTTGACACACCAACTCCTTTAATGGGTCTCTCGATTTATCCCTAAAGCAACAGAATGAAGCAACAAATGGCACCTGTTGCAACATCCTTATAGATATTGCTCTGGTGTTTAGCGACAGTGAACCCTGGGCTTGAGTCCTGGTGGAAACACGATTACTGACGTGGATGTATGCTTATCCAGCTGATGAGTTTCAAATAAAACTGGACGTATGTCGTTGGGTTTATTGCTAGTCATCGTGAAGGAAATTATACCAGAATAAATGAGGAATATTTTGACTGATCATTAAAGTTAGTCATGTATTGAACACACATTTTTCAATGTAGTAATCGTTTAATTACAAACAGATAATTATGCAACATTTTAAAATTATACTCATGAAATGTTACGACGTCTGCTACTGGAAAAGGATATTTTGTGTGCACACTTCAGTTAGCTGAAATCTCTTTAAATTTTTGTTTGGCTATAGCAAGAAAAACCACCGGAAGATGGAATTTCATCAGTTGCTTACAATTTGGACCAATTTTAATTGTTTTTTAATATGTTAATTAGATAGTTATGTTGTGATGGATTCTTGATAGATTTGAATACTAAAACTGCTTTAAAAATCTTCCTCTAATTCTTGCACTGTTTAAACTTATTTTTGTCTGTAAATAATCAACAAGAGAGAATTCGCAAAATAAACTGAATCTATACTCTGATAAATTAACAATTGTTCTTGTTTTACTGAAACCTGTTAATGATTATTCGGAAAAATATAAAAATCATATACTTCAATGAAAATAGGACAGTTTAGCTTGGTAAATTTACGGTAGTGCATGACAATGCTAAGTGAAATTTTAAGAAAATCCGAGTTGTGTAAGGAACTAAACACCACTGAAGAGAAACCTTTCAAGTTTCAAATTTGTATTTGGCTTCAATCATCACCTTGTATATTTTGGTTAATTCACAGTCTCTTCATTATTTCTATTAAGTCAATACAACCACAGTATTCAGTAATCATAACTTTGGTGATAAATTCAATGGAGTGAAGATTATCATAGTACTAGAAACATATTGCTCTCCAGTACTAAATCAATTAATGTAATCCCGTCCTAGAAGGGGCCATTGGTGGCCAGAATAGCTCAGTGATAAGATCTTTGACTACTCCACTGAGTGAAGTGGATTCGAATCCATCTGAAAACACCAGATTCCTCAAACTCACAGATACACCTTACTGACAAGTGCCAGTAAGCCCGAAAACTAGATCCCGCATTTCCCACTGATTTCCCCCAACCATGTATCATTAATCTAAGTGCACCATGGTATTGGGTGTGTTTATGTTAGTAGTCATAATTGGTAGAATCCGGTTAGCTTTTAGAACTAGATGACATGAAATCGGCTACTTTCTAATGAAGATTTTAGTAGTGACTAGCAGTAAGAAAAAAGGATGTTGTTTTAAATGATTCTCTATTTACCAATTTATTTCTGTATTCTGAAAATATAAATGTATGATTTGAATAACTTTTTATATAAAGAGATATATAAAACTTTGAAACATCATTTTCATTTAAGATGCATACATTATGTTTTCATGAAAACCACCTTTTCCTAGTCATATGTGGTTTATTTATTGCCAAATATGTATAAGAAAGTTTTATCAGTCCATTACCGTCTGTAACAGAATATTCAGTAACATATTCGAATCTTATAAAAATGCATTGAAACAGAATTTCGGTTATTGGTACAGTAGTCTGCATAATGTGTTATAGATTCAATGGACAGTATTACATTAAAATCATTGCCTTCTCACCATTTAATTACTAATAATCAAATACATCAAGGGTATTATAGTTTTCTAGCCCATAGTTGGATTTTCCTTTGCTTCAGGTCCACTACCAAATCGTCTTTCAAGATTTGTAACTTCAGCACTTCCGAACGACAGTGGACGTCTTACGCCAGTTGGTACATTTTACGGACCACATTGGTCTGATATTGCAAGTAGTGGAAGTATCCAGTCATGTCATTCCGGGATAAGTGTACAACTAAACACAATTCATAATGTTTACACGAATACTCTCAATCAAACATCTAGTGGTGCACCGCGTTTTACACCAGCTCACTATGAAGATGTTGGACGAGCATTAATGATAGCTATACTTGACATTAACCAAATTAACCCATGGCCGAAAATTGCAAGTCTTGGTGGACCTAATTCAGAGCCAGACATTGGTATTCTTACCTTATCATCATCTTTACCTGAATTTTCGAGTATCAAGGTAATGTTTTAAATTTGATTACATCATACATCAACAGTAATTTCAATTTACTATATAATGGTGAAAGTCTAAATTTAACCAGTTAGCCTTCTTACATAAACTCCATGAAAACAATGCATTGTAACAATCATGTAGAGATTACCATTACTTTGAGCTTGAAATTTGATCTATTTTTTCCACTAACATCTCACAAATTGTCGTCACAGTAAATAAGACTACAGTCTTATGTGAGTTGATAAAAACTTTCTGATTATCAAGTGATCGTATTGTTAACGACTTAATATGCTTTTGTGTCTGATGATAAATTCACACTTATACTTTCCACATCAATGCTGAGTAATTGGGAAAGATTTTATAATAATGACAACCATTAGAAAAGAAGAACATTTTAGTGGACCTTTTTGAGCAAATATTTTACTTAATTCAGTTCCATGCATTTTATAAAATTCATATTGTGTTACACAAGATTTCTGTATTCTTTAAGTCACACTAACGAAATTATCTACCAATGCTAAGTTTCGATTATCAGATATTATGACAGTATATTTCGCTTAGAATCTTAATAATAACCATAATAATAATCACTTTATTCCAAACAACGTGGGTCATACGATATGGAATTCTCAGTATTTACTACTTCAGGAAATGCATACCCTGTACAGTATTATTAAGCGAAATAATTCTCGCATATTACCATCTGGTTTGGACTGGTGTGTGATTTGAAAATCATGCGAAATTGCTGGATTGGGGTAGTTTATTCAGCCAGTAAAAGATCTGCAATTAGAAATAATTATTCAAAGAATAGTATGTCCTGTATTTTTCGTGTATGTATAATTCTTTTTCTTTATGGAATAACGTTTTTTTCTTTGTTTTGTTGTTCGTTCGAAAAACTACAGTTTGAAAACATTAAAGTTTGCAAGAGGACAGGACAGGCGTAAATGACATTTAGTTGATAAGAAATATTAAAAGAGGAAGTTGATGTAACACATTAGATGGAAAGCTTTTGGTAACCCAATGTTTAAGTAGGGCACAGACAAAATAAATATTATGTAGCATACAAAGTACGACTCAGTATAGTTCAATAGACCCAATGGTAGGTTTATAGTTAAGAAATCACTAACTAGTAATATATATATATATATATATATATATATATATATATATATATATATATATATATAAAGTAGCTTACAATTCAATGGTCACTTCGCAAGGTGTACATGCTTTTGTGTGGCTCTATCTTACCACACTAAACGGAATAACTGAAATATTTGCTGATCGCGAAATCCAGATCGTTTTCAGTATAATGAAGAATAGTATCCGTTTATAAAAATAAACAACAATATAAGAATAATAGTTTAGAATATCAGTGTGCAATTCAGGTGAGTAATTCAACGTAGAAAGTTACAATAAAAAGAAAAAACCAAGTTACCACACTGTCTAACAACTCACAAGGATGTGAATGAAGAAGGAATCATATTTCCGTAGACGATGGTACACAAATCAATCACAGATGCGTAGCTGGTTTAGCTCTCCAGTTTTTAGTGCTTAGGATTGATTCAAGCTATGGATCAAGTATTGCAAAGCAACCAAACTCTCTTAACTTTAGCACTGAGTGATTCAAGTTCCAATCGTTGAGGGAATATCAGTTTCCTCATGACTGAAGACACGTATTGCCGACAAGGGTCAACAAAATCGAAACCTAGGTCCAGGGCATCTAACCGACTGACTTCCACCATAAAAGGCTTGCCAGTAAGCAAAGGTTTGTAATGGAAAAGAGAATAAATCGATAATTGTTGACAGGAATATCCAAACTTTTGAAGACAGCAAAACCTAATGCACTTACACTATTGTAGTCAATATGAACCATGTCACAAAGAGTTTGCAAATGCTTTCACCTAACGTATGGCATAGGAAGACATCGTCTACAGAAACCTTCAAATTGAAAACAACACAAATTATGATTATTTGTGGTTCTGAAGATGCTATCAAGCTGATTTGATGATTTTACATCCCATTTACCCCAATACTCGGCACAGATGTATCAGATAGTTTCAGTAAATTTCAGATTGTCATATTGATTTATTTCCAATAGGATTCATCTAATATGAATTAAGTGGTAGTATTCTATCACCCGAGATTTTTGTGAAATCCGATGTATTTTATACACTTCAGACTTTAAAAGAATGGACACGAACATACGTTCGTGGAATCGCCTCATTAAACGCGTCGATTAAAGCATCTACAAATCGACTTACCGAAGTTCCTACAACAAAACTTAGTGATTCAAAAAAGCAAGTAAATAAGAAACTGCCGTTAAACAGTGAACCTTCAGAAGGAGTAGCAAGTTTTTCTTCTACGGGAAATGTTGCAACTCAAAATCCAGTAAAATCTCGTGAAAATTCAGTGAAAAGAAATATCAGCAATGCTGTAACTAATTCTAGTATTTCTAAGAAGTTTCTGATGCAAACAAATATCACTTCACAGGCTACTAATGATTTTCTGAGTAGTACTGCAACAGTCTTAGATAAAACGTTTTCGAGTACAACAAATACGCCATCAAGATCCGATCGTAAAAACCACTTATATCATTCAAATCCAACTCCATCACATACATCTATTCGAAGTAAACTACAGTATTATCATGAATCATCCGATTTTACAAAGGTACATTCTCCATTATATTCACGTCTGACACCCATGGCAACAGAAGATACTGGAGCGACACCGACAACTATACCAATAAACCACTGTGAAGAACTCAAATCGCAAACTCTGTACAATAATGATAATTTGTTGAAATGCAACCGTCGTAAAAATGGGAAATCATTTTTATATGATGATGGTAATGGAGAAAATTTAATAAAGGTTATGAATAAAAATTTAAATTGTCAACTTATTCGTCGAAAGGTTGCAGAGTAGGTTTACACAAATTATTAACTTTGATAAAGAATTATGTTTCTGCATTAAGATTTTATTTATTCAAGTATTAGTGATTATTTTCCCAGTACACTTATGTGGTATTCTGTTGTCTATTAAAGAATCAGAATTTGATTATACAATTTACGTGAAACAGTAATTAATGATTATCTTGAGTAAACAGTTCAAATGTTAAATTAATGTTTTGTGGGAGATGACGTGAACTGATCAGAGATTTGACAGGTATGCATAAGCTAAGATAACTTGAAAATGTATTTCCTATCCAAAAAATTAACAAAAACAGTTACAGTGAGTTCAATTGTTTTAGTGAGAGAAGAATGGAGGAAGACACAATGATGTTACTCAAAAAAAAAGAACGATACTATGAATTTATGTCATCCGTTACTCTCCCCCTATATGTAACATGAAATACTGTCTTCGCAACCATCATTCAACATTTGTAGTGGGTGATGACTGAAGGTGAGATGAAAATCTGGACCGTGGCTGGATTCGAACCAGCGACCACCGGGTTACCGACCCGGTGCTCTACCAACTGAGCTACGAGTGTGAATACCATCAAGCGATAGTAAAGCGTCACGAATTCACATGGTAATCAGGAAAAACCCTAGATGATTGAAGTGAAATAAAAATCTGGTCAGCAGTCGTACCTCGTAGCTCAGTTGATAGAGCACCGGGTCGGTAACCCGGTGGTTGTTGGTTTGAATCCGGCCGCGGTCCAGATTTTCATCTCACCTTCAACCATCACTCAGTACAAATACTAGTCTGACAAACTACGGCTATCTTAGATAGTTGAATCATAATCATTATTCTATAGGCTAAATGACTTAAAGATAGAAGTGTTATGGTGGCATTCCAATACAGTAGACCTATTCTCACAGCAAGCCGTTACCTACGGGAATAGTTTAAGGCAACCAGTAGAAACCATAACAAATACTAGACTCTTCAAAACTGCATGTTTCGTAATACGTCAGATGTTACCACTCTCGAAACATTAGGTGTTTCGTTGTACGGTTTCCAGTTATTAAATTCTTAATATCTACCACTAAGCACTGTATTCGTATGTATACAGTCAGCAATACTTGTTTTCCAAAGTTTAGTGCATTTGATCAAGTTGTCCATTGAGTTACTACAGGATTGTATAAACTTTCATCGACTTGAAAACACATTTAATGATGAAATCACCACATGCTTGGTGACATAACAACTGGATTTGGTAACTGGCACAAGTTTTGTGTTCAAAAATTCAGAATAACAATCTGATCTCTGTCATCTAAAAGTTTAATCCTCATACTTTCCTAGACGTTACTTTTTCAAAAGTGTATAAAGTTAATCATAATGTATCAGTTAGCCTAGTTAGTGTCTACCTAACACCTTCAATAGATAACTAGACTTAACATAAATTAGGACTGAATATGTGTTGTTTACTGTTGTTGTTTGCAACTACTCTTATATACATCCTTTTAGAAATATCTTTATTTTTTCAAGTGCTAGTAAAGAATATCAAACAAAATGCAAAAGCTACATGTTGAAAAAGAAGTTGAGCCTTGACATAAATAAAAATTTCACACAATGCTGTAATACCGTTAAAGAGTCAATTAATGAAACATTAGATAATAACTCTTCCAATAGAACAGAACTTTTAGATTCAAAATACTCTTCTCATTTATCAGTAGAATATACAAATTCAATATATGAAACTGATGATACAGTTAACAGTAATCCATCTCATATGTTATACAATCAATTAATAACTTTACCTACAAACAATTCACCACAAACAACTGAAATATATGATAGAAATATGATAACAGATATTCATAAAAAATCAGTGAATAATAAACATTCACATAGTTTTGGTAAAATTAAACGAGCAATCAATGAATACAAATCTGCTAAAGGCCATTCAAATGAAAAGGTAAGACTATATAATACAAAAAATGTTTTTCATCTTTAAAGTTTTGGCCATCTATTAGCTTGGATGTCAGTAGACATATGATATATGAACATCCTATATGCCATAAATGAATATGCACTCTTGGTGTTTTCAAAGTATTTTAATAGTATTTTTTCTTAAAAGAGATGATTAATATCATACATCCTATAAGTCATTTGATTCCACACTGATAGCTTGAAGTTTACTTACAAATGATGAGTATATTCAATATGGTTTTCCTCTTGATTTAGTCTCTTTAACTGTTTACTGAAATCTTCTTTCTAACACAATTGTTTTTTATAGTTTGTAATACAACTGACAGATATTCGTAAAGGTTATCCTTCATTTCATGTGAACTAAAGTAGATGATTGTAAAGGTGGAGACTACAGTTATGCATCCATATGAGTTAATGTCCTTCTGTTAAGCCAGAAATCAAACTAGTTGGAAATAATGATTTTTCTTTTATAGCTTAAGACTTTTATTCCATTAGCAAGCTCATAGAACCTACCCATCAACCCTGTCATCACCCTTGGAGCTTATTAATCAGGTTAAGTGAAAAAAACAGTCACATATAACCTTCACATTCAGTTCTTACAAAAAATACGTATCCTAAGTGAAAAATGTTACCAATTGACCTGTTGAGATTCACCTACTAAGAAGCTTAGAAATATACCTGAAAGTCTGGGTCCTGGAAGGAAATGAGTATCGTATTGTAAGCTTTTATTATTGTTAACAGCTCAATAATAAAGAGATTTATAAAACTGTGACAGTGATTTTGTTGACAGCAATAGGAGTTTATGAAGACATATTAAATAGTAATGATTCAATAATTGAATATCAGGCTGGAGGGATTTATACTTCTTTATATATGTGTTTGCACATAAAAACTTACTGACTATTTCCTTTTTCCTTAAATAAGGGTATTGGATCTCCTTCAGCCAACTTTTCTGGAGTTGCACAACAGTGACTTTTCTGTCAGTATAACTCAAATGAGTTAAAATGACAGGATATCCTTGTCAATTTCAGATCTGTTCTTTGGATTGCTCATTACTGTTTGATTTTCTATCATTTCTGAGTACTTTTGAGAATATCATTAATTATGGATGGATACTTAAAAAATATACGCTATCCGTATTGAAATTAAAGCTTTCAATAAAAAAATTATACAGGTGAATGAAAAGAAAAATAGAATTCAGAAGAATTCTGCATCCAAGTTTCTTTTTATTGCATCATCTCCGTTGTATAAAAGGCACTAATGAAATCAAAATTACTCAGTTTTATTCCTCTGAATGAATCGAATATGCAACAGTTATATTGCATGTGTGCAAATTATTAATATCATAGGCTACAAGTTTATTTGTTTTTACTTATCTATTCTAAATTGTTTTTCTCGTATGCACTTTAATTTCAAATAATAATAAAATAAATACTGTCCGCAGTATTTGAGAGTAGTTACTAGTGATGACTAGGAAGAGAGTTTCCTCCAGCTTAAGACTCGTAGAGATAGACAAATAAACGTAGTCCTGAGAATTAACATAAAAAAACTAGATATGTTTATGGTGTAACATATTATTTAAATGGATAAATGTTATTTTTTGAGGCCAATGTCATTATAGAAGCTACAGTAATTAAAAGGATAACTACGATTTATAACTTTTATCACTTCTGAAAACCATGACTTTAAAATAGCTAACTCATCCCACCACAAGGCTTCAGGCTATATATATTTTCCAACCTCTGTGACCGAAAACTCAGATATAAGTGTGTGATCGGCCGACCGCTATAAAAAATTGAACACCTTGATGGTCGTAATCAAGTGAGATGTAGGCACAAAACATTATCTCTACCACTGCAGAATATCTGCTTCCCATCAATAACCGATAAGATTTGAACCAAGCTATCCACTATGAATAAAACTTGAACGCTAAACTCTATTTCTGAAATCAACAAGCCATTATTTCAACCTGAAAATCAACTGAAGCTCACCTCCATTAGTGTTGCGAATGAGCATGAAGGTTTTAGTAAATCTTTTAATGTTTTCTCTCATTCTTCAGCTGTAATCACCTCTTAATTAAAATGAATTTAATTAACATTTAGAATAAAGTTAAAATGTTTCCATTGTTTTAAAAATATTTTAGATGAAACATTCCTACGTGAGAAAAGGGAGTCGAAATGAATTACACAAAGGATTCAGTTATACTCGACCAGGATATACAAAACTTCTTAAACATTATACAAGTCTTCACTGTTCAGATAATAAAAATAACAATATGAAATCATTTATAGTATATACCAATAAAACACCAAAAAGTAAAAATAACAAAAGTTGTCATGTTAATAATTCTCTTCATTATTGGAAATCACGTTCATTCAAGTTGAAGTCATTGACAAAAACCATTCTATATGAAAATAAATCACCTCCAGAAAATGCTGATATTTGTACAATTTTCACAACAGATATGTCAGATCAAAATAATTATTCTGAATATAATAACAATAATAATACAGGCATAGAAGTTATATTTGATAACAATATATCAATAGTGTACTCCAGAAACACAAACAGTACAACTGGTACATCTGAAAAAACTATTCATTTCCCACTAATCAATCGATCACATTCATTAAAAAATATAATAACTCCTTCAGAATCAGATGATTGTATTAATGAATTGAAAGCTCTGTTTAAATCTATGTCATTAAATTAAAACAAAATATTTTATTGTATTTCTAACCGATCTTGAAATATTTAATGCATGAGTTTCTAACACCTTACTCTTTAAATATACTTTTAGTCTTGAACTTAATTCATTGAAATGAATATAGGTAGAATGAATGGTTAAAAGTATTGAAGAGATTCCCTTTGTTATTGCTTATGTTCTCATGTGTATATAACTTTCTTTCTTCTTGTTCATCTCTTTTTTTATATTTTATTCACCCACGTCTACTATTCCTTATGAGGTGTATCTATACTATATACTTACCTTTCTTTCTTTTTCACCATCTCTTTCTACTTCCGTCTGTCCTTTTGTTTAATCAACTTTCTTAAAATATATAAAGTTAACACTGAAAACTGTGAATAGAAGTGTAACAATTTTTGAAAAGTTGATGAATTGTGTACTGTGCTATTATAACATTGAAACAGCAGGTGATTACATCCTAATTTATAATGAAGGATTAACATCGATTTAAGAGCACACTTAACTCTGTTTCAGTTTTGCTCTAAGACTATTTATTTCACCTTGAAAAGAAATTAGAGTTAAAATATTGCACGTGGATTAACTTTTTTATTTGCTTATTTTTCCATTTTTACTGTCAAAATCATTATGACAATAATCATCATAGTGAATATTTTTGCAATAGATTTCTTCACTATCCTTCATCGGTTTCATCTGAATTGATCTCTTCTCAGATAGTAACCTGGTTATTTGATATAATGTTATCAGGTCTCTCCTACCTGCATCCTATTCCACTTCACTTGCAAGTGGGACGTAGTAGTGCTTTTTTCCTTCCACGCTCTCTTCTTCACTTCTTTGTCCAGTGCAGTGCTTTATAGGTTGTCTTCACTTCATCTTTCCCTTGTTCATCCCTGCACAGCACTCAACTCCACTCCACTCCATTGCAGTGCACTCCACCGCACTGCACTGGTTCATCTTCTACTTCACCATCACCATCTGACTCTCCCTGCTCTATCACCTTACATGTGTCCATCGAGATCCATTCCTCGTTTCGCTTCTTCTTCCTCTTTCCTAACACGGTTATGCAGGTTTCTCTACACATCTCTTTCAAAGAGTTCCAGTGTTCATCCACACAGGTCTCCTCACAGATGTTGCTCAATATCTCCCATTTTGTCCTAATCACTGACTGACATGAAGATGTCCCCTGTAGTTTCGTCCTTCACTTTCTGTTCTCGTGTTCAACTTCAACTGTGGTCTATCATTACCTTCCTTGAAATGAAGGTATTCAACTAGATATTGGATGTAGGTTCGTTGTACTGGATAGTGAGTGGTGTGAACACACATCTGCTCCCCCCTCCCACTCCCCACCCCCACCCCCACCCCCACCTTCTTGATCTGATCTCGTGTCCAGTAGGCTGACTGACTCTCCACTTTCTTCACATTCAGAAGAAGTCGATCTCATATCTACTGTATCCATCCAGTGAAATCAAATCCATGCCGCTATCTCGATATCCTTGTATTTGTACACAATGTCTCCAATCACCAAGTCGTTGAATGCACACAAATCTGCAAACAGTTCTCCATTCTCGTTCATTTCACAGAGTGCTTCTCCACCCATGTTTGGTTCTCTTCCTGTGTTGTCTGCTCCCAACATTTTGGCATTCAGGCAGGTCACCCACCCATTCGAATTTTGATGTTGTCAACTGGAGTGTTGTCCAGTACTGACTGATTGTAGTTGTCTGTAGAATTCCTCCTTCTTCTCTTCATCTGCATTATTTGTGTGTGCGTAGCGTAGTGTATGATTTTGTGATTGTGACTTTCCTTCCTTCTGAGTTGAATCTTGCTGTCATGATTCTGGAGTAGGCGTAGGAGTAGGAGGAGGAGGAGAAGGGGAAAGAGTAGGAGGAGGAGGAGATTGGTTGTCGCTGCATGAGAGAGAGGCGTCGATGCTCTTGGGTTGGGGGAATCAAGATAATCACTCCAGAACTCAGTGCGCTCGTGGTTGCCGTCCGGATGACAATACTGGAGTCGCTTGTTGACTCTTCAGTTGACAATTTGTAAAGTTCACTTCCATTCCATCTGCTTTCGCAGTTTCCAAGCACTTCCATGCCAAACATCCTCATCTCTTTTGCCATCTATGCATCCTTACCAGGTTCAAACATGGTGTGGATATTCCATGTCCCCATTGTTATTTTCGCTTTCATCGAGAGAAGAGAAGACATGTCGGCCGATTGGCTTCCCGAAGTCTTTCACCAACTGGCGTCATTTCGTCTCCCCAACTTCAGCAAGGAATAAGTTTACTTTCATGTTTTATATTTGTTTTGTGCTTTGAAGTTTATTTGGTGATTGGATTGGTTTTTCGGGGTAGGGTTGCTAATCCTATTCCCAACTTTAACTCTTTATTTGAGCTTTGGACCGGCTAGGAAACTAGTGAACTAGGAAATCAGGCTGAGGTATCATAGTGTATAGTACACTTAAATGACTACTATTAATATGAACCTGCTTATCTACAAAAATTGGCTACAACATTTTTACCGAATAGGTATACCATTTCTTTCACTTTTGCTGGTATGAATGTGCCTGTGTACAGAATAAATTCTCGCTATCTGATCACAAAACTAATTCGAGTTATATCATCAATATTGTGTGTGATGTGAATCGAGTAAAGACATCAAGTTCAACGGAATATGTTGATGGGCAGATCTTTAAATACATAGTTTGTAAACAATAAGCCATTATGTCACTTTAATGAGAACTATTTACCATAGGGTGATTAAGGAGGAATATACTTCCAATGGAAACTGTCTTCAATAAAACAGTCAATCGTAGAAGACCGATGACCGGTTGTACCAAGTGCAGCGTGAGACGAAAATAATACCTATCCATATTCTGTTTAAATCATCTTAATTGAAAGCTTAAGTAATCAACTAATGATAGTTACTTCATACTTAAATTTCACTCATGGTGTTATGTAGTCTTCACAGATAAGTTTGTGGTCACCTGAAAAGTTCAAAACGGTTGCAAAAACATGAAGTGTTTGCCGATCAAACTTTTGGAGCAAGTAAGGTTGGTGATAGATACACCTTAAGAAAAGGATTTTATTCAGTAAGAAGAGTTGAATTTCTAGAGTCTCTCATAGCGTCAGACGTACGTGAATCATATAGGAAGGGTGCAATATGGAACTGTACATATGAGGCGACCACTAACATGTTGACATTCTCCAATGTTCTGATGTCGTAGGAGTCATAGGGGATTGAAAAGCACCAAATTTTTGTGATAACGCTAACAGTAGGTTGACAAGTAGTGTTCGGAACGAAACCAGTTTAATTTGTGACGGGGTGAGCATTGATTGGGACAAGGATAAAAAAGGTCAAGTCTATTGAAAAGTGGTCAAAAAGACCCAAAAATAGAGGGCTCGTATATTCAATATGTCCACTAAAGGTATGTGGTATAGCTTTTCGATGCACTATGACAAGGTAACAAATACAACCTATAATGATGAAGAGAAAGAAATGTAAACTGAACAAAAGTCAAAGAACGAGGTAAATGAATTCACACTGTGCAATCAGACCAGCTAAATACCATGACTCAGTTGATTATCGCTGCAGTGTACGTCTCATTAGTGCAGCGGTGATTGATGTGAGGAGTGAAGATGTAAAGAAGTATATTATTAGTTAAAGACAAAAACAAAGAAACCATTTCTCGAACGTTTTGCGAACTACTTCGGGAGTGGAGTTTTAGGAAGACGATAGTAATCCAAGGGAGCGTATTGTAGTGCCCTCATTTGTTATGGTTTAGTAGTTCAGAGATAAATGCATCAATAGTATGGGACAGTATGGGCAGTATTTAGTAATGAGTTCATTAGAGATGGAAACAACTATTGAAATAATATCAGCATTTCAGATGAGTGTTATTCAACGTTACCCAGATGGTTGCAATTGTTCGGGCTCTGACCATGTCAGTGAGTTAGAAATGGATACAGACATTTTAGAGTCTGAATCTGGGTTTGCGTGATGGCACTGGCAGGATTCTCTGTAGTCGCAACATATGACTGCAAAAGTTCTGTGTTTACCTGATACAGAGAAACAGATTCGCAAATCGTATTGGACAAGGCCATCAGACAGCTGAGTAGCCAGCCCAGAAGGGATAAAATTAGAAGCTGTAGCATTTGATAAATATGTACTAGACTCAAAAAAGCATACCAATACGAAACAACTGTATGAAGATAAGGGATGAAATAAAACTGACGAGGCATTACCAGGGAGTATGCATGAAGCTGAGTTCAGAAAACTATGGTTGTAATCAAGGACAGTGTGATACTGATAAATAGCAGCATGGTTCTGTGTGAAGTTTGAAGAACGTGATTTTCGGAGTGAAGTGTTAACAGTCAAATTGAATTTATTGATGTGAAACTGCAGGCTGATAGGATATGGGGAAAAGATGAGGATATCTGGGTAATAATATTATGATCATTTGTCGAAGTCTACAGAATAAAAAGAAAACGGGCATTTCAAGTAGTCCGGGAAATTGACATCTGATGCCAGTACAAAGATGTCGTATATGAAACAAAACTAACATTTTGAAATCGGACAACTCTCTTGATCTTCAGCAGGGAACTCAAAACTTCCTTTCCCATGGTTGATAGGTCGAGTCAAAAAGATGAGATGATTTGGAAATGATTCAGATCTACGGAGTCATTTAGTGACAACTGACACCTCAGAGGTCTACTGATTTAGGAAAATATTTAAGTGACATCGTATCTGGAGCTCTGTTGACGATAATGTTATTACGTCTGTGTATGCTTTTACTGACCTCACAAGAAATGGCGTCAGTGAGGTTTTATGCTTTGAATAAAACTTTAGGACCACTTGATTAGAAACTGTATGGAGAGATGAGTGGATCTAAATAAACAAGATCATTTAGCAATCACAGGATAGAAATCGGTCTCACTTCTGAGTTCGGCCTGCAGCTCACTGATCTGAATTTTTATGACGCTTGCAGTAGTAAAACCATTCACAGAGTTGGGTTACGAAGATGCAATTGAAAAATAATTAAGTTAAAAAGAGTGGCAGACTCTTCAAACAAGCTATGATAATAGTTTAATGATTAGAATTTATTCTCTCAAACACACTCCGGTCTACAGATTATCTAGTTACACCCTTCAAATTTCGAAACTTAATCAGCATTAGTGATTTGAAACAATTAAATCAATTCCTAAATGAAGAGAAATGTGTTGAAGTTGAAACGAAATATCAAGTCCCTGTGACATAAAGATTTCACACAAAGTAATGGTCATCATTTGGATATTTCTACCGAATTTGACAGAGGACAGAGCCACAAGTCATATATATGTATGCACAGTCACAGTAATAATAATTCAGAGTAGGTGTGGGTGTGATGAAATCCCTTCAGAAACATTTTAATATGCTTAGAATACGAGAAAAAGTTTCTCAGAAGTTTACAGGTGACTCTTAATAACTGGTTTAGTCACTCCACAGGTATTAAATGTACGGGGATTGTCATAGTTCACGTTCCAAATAGGGAAATAGATTTCGTTTCACACTGGTCCATAATTATTAAAGGATTTAGCTGTTAATGGAGCGAAGACTGCAACATGGTCTTAACGAGAGATATATGAT